TCTTCTGCCAACTTGTTGCTTTTCACTTGCATATCTTCCAGTTTGTGGGAAATCAGACATATATCATCGTTGGGGAAGTCCAGATCCTCCAAGCTTTTTGTGTGAGTCCATTTTATGCCTGTTCCCTCGTTGGTTGCCGTTGTCTGTCGCATTATCCAATCTGCTGCAATCAGGAGGATAACTGGCGATAGCAGACAGCCTTGCCTCACTCCCGTCCTGACTTCGAAGGATTCGGTAAGTTTCCCGTTGTGGATTACTTGGCATGCAGCATTGTCGTATAACTGTTGGATGACATGTATAATTGTCGATGGGACCCCGTAGTACCGAAGTAGTTGCCAAATGACCTCTCGATCGACGCTGTCGAAGGCCTTTCCAAAGTCGATGAAGTTGAGATAGGCGTGGAGGCTTGAAAATGAACATTGTTACTCCATTGACGTTTTATTCAACCAACATCCTGTAAATGACATCATCACACCTGAGATTCACAAAAGGAGGAAAATATTAGATGTTAAGATCTTTAATGAAGAATAAAAAGAACAATACCCGTGTAGATACTAACTGAAGATATGCGGATTAGGGTCTTGAAGGCTCTATACATTGAATAAAAACGTAGACGTCAAGACCAGTTCTAAAATCCAGTGATACACAGTTCGAAAGTGACTTTAAGCGAGTTTAAAAGGGGCTTGAGATTGGGTAATTTTTAATTGTTTTACTAAGGTATTCCTGTTCCCCACACGAATTAAAATTAAGCGCTAAATGCCATAATTATAAAAAGATTAGCTTGACTAATATGGTATGTGTTTCGTGACCTGAAGTCAGAATTTCACTTTTGTCACCAGGATGTACATTGGAAATGCATAACCGTGAAGGCTGTTCAGAAGAAGTGCATCTCACTGATCGAAGAACTCTATTCAAACTCAAGCAGCCATGTATAGACTTACCGAGAGTTTTCATGTGAAGTGATGACAGCTAGTGATTTTTGTCGAGGACGCCCGATATTCCTTTTTCTGTTTAATTCAATCGCAGACTTACTGAAGGAACTGACCCTAAATGAATTCGGCGATTTAAGGGCTGGAATGTCAACAGACAATAGTCTCTTAACCATAAGGTCCTGGGTTCGAATCCTGGTAGGCGCGTATTGCTGAAGAGTCCCAAACTAGGACGAAACAGCTGTCCAGTACTCACAGGTTTTCCAATGGATCTCTTACTAATGTCAGCTCATGATGAAATTCTAGTGAGATGTCGTGACCAGTAAGGTGCACCAGGTCGCGTGTGAAGATAAATGCTCGCCAAAGATATTGACTGGTGGTTGCGCCATATCGTGAATTGGCAGAAGTTGGAACTCATGGACTGGCCATTGGATCGGGTCCCAGTGGCTTAATGGTATACGAGCTCGCCTTGTAACCAGTAGTTCCTGGATTCGAACCCCGGTGGGTGCGTACTGTGAAGAGTCCCAAACTAGGACGAATCCCTACAAACCAACACTTGAAGACAATAGTCTTGTTGACGTAGAATATGCGGATGATATAGCCCACTTAGGTGAAGACACTAATAAAAGGCAGAGTCTTCTGAATATCTTGAGCATAAGTCTTAGAATGTTGAGCATGAGACGCGCTCCTATAAAAATTTAAGATGATGCTACAGGACTATACTAAGCTGACTCCTCGTTTAAAAATAGACAGCCAAATAGTAAATCGTGCTGACCATTTCACTTATTTGGGACTGCTAAGGAAATCTCAATATGGATACAAAGTGCTCGTATAACACTTAGTAAATTACTCGACCTCTGGCGTAGATGTTCCATCCATTTATCGATCAAAGGATGTGTGTGATGCGTAGAAGTTTCATCTGCCCTTATTTGTGGCTGTGAGACAAGGTCATTGAAATTGAAGGATATGAGGTTAACTGCCACTGTTCTTAGGTGTCTGCATTCTTTCTACTGTATTAGTCGGTATAATGCAATCAATATTATATAGGTAAGACGTTGAGTGTTAGGCGAGAAGAGAAAATAAAAATATGAATTCATATGTCAATACGTCACGAAGGGTACCTCGAACAGACTACAAACTTACATCAACAGCTGCTTTTGCTCAATAATCCACTCAAAACCAGATGGCCAGCTGGAAAAGATCTGAAATAGGGATCTTTGAGAACAAACCAACTCACTAGGAGGCAATTCTGCAACAAATATACAGGAAGAAATGGATATGGATTGGCTATATTCTGAGAAAACCATCAAGTGACATCACACGCTAATTCACAGCTTGAATGGAACCCGAACGGGAAGCGGCAAGTTGGTCTTCAGTGTGACGGTGACATAGGGGAGGTAATACAAAGAGGAGATAAAAGCATCTGGGCGTACGTGAAGCCAGATGAAAACGTCAGCGGAGAACCGAACGCAATATAGGCATGGAGCTGAAGCTCTATTTTCCTCTAGGAACTAAAAGAGACAATAAAATAAAATCACAGATCAACGACAGGATAATTTTATTACTAAGATTGAATGATTCAATATTATACAATTTGTTTTAAAGCATTATTTAAACATAGTCAAGGTCCTTGTACACAAAACACAACTAACCAATCAATATTTCATACATGTCTAAGTATTTCTTACAAGTATACCTAATCGTTTGAATCAACATCTGCATGTTTAACAAACAAAAAAAGAAAAACATGCATTAATTTTTCAAAGAAACCTTTTGCCCTACCTACATCAAGCAGGTTGTGTTATTCATTTTTTAGTCAGTGTACAAATCATACTGGTGCCATATATAAATTATAATTTTGTTAAATGTATATTTATATTTTAAAACAAATAGCAGAATATATACAAATCGTCTTTTGTTAATTTTTATATAAACATGAATAATAATAATAATAGTATTTGTAATTTTGTTCTTACCATATTATCTTTTCAAAAGCTGCACTACAAATCAATTGAACTTCTTTGGATTATAATTTTTGTTTATATATTTGAATGGCGGGATAATTAAAAAACAATTTCTATGTCACTTATAATCATATTATTGTTATTTATGCGTGGCTTACAGTAAATTTATGACTATTAGTTATAATTATTATTACATTCTAAATATTTAATGAATTTAGGATGGGAATTGGAAGGGTTTAATGTGTAATTACATTTCTGTTGTGTTACTTTAGGCAATTCTAATTCTAAACTAAACAGCTTTTTTGGCAGGTGTTTTTTCTTTTAAATTTTAGAATCCTTTTTAAATTATCCATACAACTAAATTTTTATTCCTGAGCATGATTCATTCTGTCTAGAATTATTCTGATCATGACTTCTTCCTTTTTGTAATGTTAAAACTTGTTAAAGTCTGATTCATGAGGTGAATCGTGAAGAATGTTTGCACCTTCAAGGAGGTACTACAATCAGTATTATTCATTATACAGCTGCTTCTTTCTGGGATTTACACTTCTATTCTCGGAGGTAAATATGACCTAACAGAAATTAATGAGTTAGTGAAAACTGATCTAAATTCTAATCATGATGTCAAATGCAATTGTGGTAGTACTACCTCCAAACGACTACTATTTTAAAAATAATTGACAGAAAAGTTAGATATATATTGGTTTTAAATGACATTTGCAAGTAATAAAAGACTTAGCAGGCAATTAGTATTCACACTTTATAGATAGGGAGAAATACAAAAACATCCACCTCCTCTTTTGAAAACTGGAGGGAATAAAAAATGTGATGGATGCAGATCTCAGTCTCCCAGAACAGGTTGAATTCAGAAAAATCAGAAAATGTGCGGATCAGAATTGTAGTATCTCTACGCTTATCACTCAACAGAGCATAGAATGGCAGTTAAATGTCTCCTTCAACTTCATAGACATTGATAGAGCCTTCGATATCGTTGAGCTTGAAGCAATTCAGAGAATACTTCATCCTCATTCAACAGTTATATGACAATGCCACATGGTAAGTGATCCATAACCGGAAACTCAGTGAAGCCTTTGAAGTGGAGACAGGAGTAAGACAAGAGTACCTAGTATCATTGATGATATTCCTAGTTGTGGTGGACTGAATTATGCGTTAGGCTGTGAGGAGTGCGAAAACAGGAATATATTGAACCAATAAGAAGACTGTAGAAGATCTTGATCTCGCGGACAATTTGTCACACGAATCTGAAGACTTGAAGGAGAAAACTAACAAGCTGGTGGAAGAGGCCAGCAGTGAAGACAGGAGTTCAAGTGGCAACAGAGAAGATTAAGTTGGTCAAGATAACCGACCAACAATGATAATCATCAGCCAACATAAACGGAATAAATTTCATGACATCAATGCCTTCACTTATCTATTCAGCATCGTCTCACCTTCAGGATAAGTATGTCAAAATCAGGTGAACTTTCATCACTCAGTTAGTTTGCAAATCTTCCGCACTTAGCAGCACAAAGAACAAGATTCAGGTTTTCAGCGGCATTGTTAATTCAGTCAGTATTCTATAGGATCCAGGAATTTCCACAGCGCATCAAGAAAACCACTTCCAACAGGTCAATGCAGACATTTTATAAAAAGCTGCCTTCGCTAACTCCTTGCTGGAGATCTTTTGGCTAAAAAAACTTAGGAACTAGAAACTATGCGAAAAACTAACCAAGAACCTATTTCCTAACAAATATGTAAGGGAAAATGGAGATAGATCGGGCACGTTAAGAAGACCGTTGAGTGACATCCTATGGCGCGCAAAACTTATGAGCTGTCAGATATTAACTCTAAGTGTCCCTGTATTTACCTCATTATCTTGCCATTTTGAATTTGATATTTTGTTGGATCATAAGTAAGAATTACTGAGGAGTATTAGACTAGAACAAAATAGCCACTGGACTCTGTTTAGAATACAAAGGCTCTTTGACCAATGTCGAACTTCATCTTGGTGTCATATGAACTTATCGATTTTTATGGTAAAGATTCACTTAAACTGTTAGTCAGCAATTGTTTATTTAAAATCTATTTGTGCTCTTGCCCTTTGCAGGTTGTTGGATTGTAACGGGTGGTTTTCATTTGGGTGTAATGAAGTTGACTGGTGAAGCTGTACGTGATTATACAGATGCCTATGGTGGCAATAGAATGATGGCATTCGGTGTAGCAAGTTGGGATTGTGTAACAAAGAATGAAATCCTTGAAGCAGCATTACATGAGGTAGGATTTGACCTATGTTTTTTGAATTTCGTTTTCTTAAAAAGATGATATACATTTAACTAGTCATTATATGTACTGAGATTAATCTTAGTGGGTATAGAACTTCCATCCATAAATCATGACTCCGATACTGACTATAATTATGCTTAAAATAATGAAAATGGAAATTCATATATATCAGGTCAAAGTATTCTTATTGATAAATCTAGAGAGCATTGGTTTTGTAGGCATTTTTCTTTGATTGGTTGGAAGATTTCATTATCAGCTGACATCAGTGAGAGAACCATTGGAAAACTTGAGAGCGCTGGACAGCCATTTCGGCCTAGTTTGAGATTCATCATTAGTACGCACCCAACGGGGTTTGAACCCACACACTAGCCTTGTAACCACAAGGTCCTGGGTTTGAACCCCTGTGGTGGGTGAGTCTGTCTGTCTGTCTGTTTTCGACATAGAACTTTGCACAAATGTGCGGAAGTTCAAGTCGCCACACTCCGTGTAGCACGCGAAGCAAGAGAAGAAAGTACAAGAAAAGCATAATAGAAACAGTGAGCAGAGGTGTGAGACAAAGGAGTAATAACGAAGAACAGAACAGTTTCATTGGAGATCATAAGTCACAAGGAGTGGATGCATCTGCGCCACTGAGAACGGTTTTGAGCCATGTCACCAATTGTTTCCAAACATAGATTTTTACCGTCCCGAGGACCCCAGCCTGGAAGTCTACACCTTCCTACGTGACTGGCTTAGACCAACTGTTGTGGATTTCATTGACTGGTGCCAAGTTTTTGTTTGACCGCCGCTAGCTTTTTTCAAGCCTGACCCTATATCCGCTAACATTGCTCGTCGAGGGAGGCGATGGCTTGGCATACGTAACACATGTCCTAACCATCTCAGTCTTTGTAGCTTCACGACTTCGTCGATTGATTTCCCCTGTTTACCTAGAACTCTACGCCTAACCTCAATGTTGCTCACCTTATTATGCCACTTTACACGGGAAATAGATCGCAGGCACCTATGATCAAAGACAGCTAGTCTTTTCATGTCTTCCACTCTCAGTGGCCAGGTCTCACAGTCGGCCATAAAGGAGGACGGAGCGGACTGATGAGCAGTACACCCGCCCTTTAGTGGGTGAGTACTGAGGAAGAGTCTCAAAAGACGAAACAGCTGTCTAGTACTTCTAGGTTTTTCAGTGGTTCTCTAACTGACGTCAGCTCATGATGAAATCCTCCAAACAATGAATTTTACAGAGCATGATAGACAAACGAGGGCTAACTGAAATTCGTGAACAGAAATGGAGATGTTGAGGTTCGATTCCCGAGAGATGTTCTCCTAAAATTCATTCAGTTGGAAGTAATTCCTTAGAAGATGGATGATTGAGTTTGAAGCTAGCAACCCCACCCTTTGGAGATAACAGCAACATCACCACTGTAACTTCAGAGCTTGAAACTGTGTGCATGACTTCGAAAGGAAGGGATGAAAAAGAACTGAAACTTGTAACAAGTTAGCGCTATATATTTCATTACAAACTAATTATGCATGAACTTGTCTTCCTAATTCTGCCTTGATGTTTAAAAATATCAGTTTATTGATTAGGAGAAATTAGATATAGGGAAGGAGACCAAAGAGATGGTGCTGAAATAAGAGATAAGAGATTAGGAAAGCAAGGTAGGTTGTGTGGTTACACAAGTCACCTTTGGTTTTAAAACTGGATTACCCAGTACGCTAGTCAACCAGGCACACTGTCAGGGATCAGCCCCGGGGCTGATTCACTCCTATACTCTACTAAGGTGGTAGTCAGGCCGGTGAAAGGGGAACGTTGGGTATGAGGCTAGTGATTACACCCCGTGAAAATAAAATCATTGCTACCGGAACCTGAAGGTTCAACTTTGAAGCCCTCTGTTCCACTCAAAACGTAAAAAAATAGTGCGTAAGTGCATTAAAACGGGTTAAGGCTTTCTGTATCAAGAGCTTTAACATATTTAATATGCTACTCAGATACGCTTTATTTAATTCTTCAACGTTTGTGTTAATAATCACATCATGCGAGCAGGTCACACAGTTAATATATATTGAAATCCCAGCTATAAAACAGCTTATACCTGTTTTATATGTCCAGAAATTGTATGTTACTTAATTTTCCCTACCTTAGTAATCCAATTTTAAAACGAATAGATATTAACATTATAATACTTCCATCGATTTCCTTAACACTCTTATCTATGATTTCTCCCTTTCCTTTGAACTCTTAGTGGAAAAGTAGACGTTGACCTTAAAGATTTAGTATGGATGGTGTTATTTGTGAGGGTGGTAGGGTTGCTAATCATATGCCAAGTTTTCTTTCTCCTCTAGGTTAACTATGAGTTCATAAGAATCATAGAAGTGCTTCTGTCTTGAGGCGAACCCGGATCACATGCATAGTTATTGAATATTCGACCATTGAATCACCGACACGCCTTGTTTGAATAAAATAAATTGTGATAAATATTACTAAATGCTGCATTCTAAATTCACTTTTCAAATTCCATATTCTGTGAAATTTTACACAATAAATATGTATGATAAGTAGGAGTGTGTGTGATTTGCATGTTCTGAATGTGTGTTACCTAAGTACACATTATACGTTTTGGATCAATTATGTCATCTGTTATTTTGTTGAAATTCAAATAAGTGACCCAATCGTTAAAAATTGAAGTAGGTTCAACATCAAGAGAAATTATTTTGATTATGCAAACATTTAAATGGATCACTGGTAACGTCCTGAAGGAGTAGGAGGATACTATAGTGATCACTTCTATCCACTTTGCTAAATGATGTTTATTAGGCTTGTGTAGGCTCCAGTCAATATTTAACTGAAAAATTCCACAGAAAACATTAGGCGCCTCATAAAAAGTAGACATATGTATGTTCCAGGATTAATTACGAGCTGATATCAGTGAGACAGCCATTGGAAAACTTCAGAGTACTGGATGTCGGCTAGAGGTTGCACTAAACATATATATCACGAACTGACAGAAGATGGAATTCATGTAGTGACTACCGAATTGGGTGCCAGTAGCTTAATAGTCTGTGAGCTATCCTTGTAACCGTAAGGTGGTGAGTTGGAACCCTGGTGGTGAGTGCGTCCCGATGAATAGTCACAGGTCAGACAGGCGAAACATATATCTAATACTCCCTGACTGTTTTAGAATGGTTCGTTCTCTCACTGATATTAGCTCTCTATCGATCCTGGATCCAATCAGATCTCTGAAAACCAAAGCCAGGCGTACATTTGTATAAATTTCATTCAGGGAGCTAGTCCGAATTTTATCAGGGAAATCATCAGGATTAAAATAATAAAAGTATATTATTATATAAAAACATCTTATCAATATAATCTTTTCGATTTTGACCATGGTTCGATATCAGCTACAGAAACGTTGGAAACCAGTGAGTACTCGACAGTTGTTTCATCCTAGTTTGGGATTTATCGGCAGTATGCGCCCGTCGCTAGTTTTCGAACGGAATACCTTCCGATTACAATGAAAGCCCGCAAAACCCTTCAAACACTGTGACCCAATTCAATGGCCCTTGAATTCTGACTTCTAACAATTTGTGATTTTAGTGCGACAACTCTAACCCCACTCTCCACTATTTGGACCTCATTGGTCTTGACTGCTCACTAGAACTCCAGCATCAGATATAAAATCCTTCTCCAGTCATGTCTGATTCATAAATAGACATCAACATAATATAAATAAAATCGCATGAACTGTGATCACGGCTGCAAGCACAGAATTATTATTAGTCTGTTTTGTTACATACGGTAAACAGTATTTACTCAAAAGTAAATACATGTTTGAATAAAGACCATAGACATGGATATCTGAATTAGAAAAATTATTCTATGTTCAATAATGTGTGTACGCGTAAACAACTGTATACTATGAAGCAAACATAAATCAGGTTTCCTCTTATCAATCTGTATAGCTTCCTCCATAGCTAAGAGATGTAATCGTGTGTCTTTAGGTGCAGGTTGTTTGGTACTCAACATACAGTATTGATCACTATCCACTAAATGAGATAAAATGGCACTATTTATTGATTTAGTTATTTATTTTTCCATGTCAAACATATTCAGAGGTGCGCAAAGATAAATTCCTCCGAGTGTGACCTATTTAATTAGCTCCACATGAGAAGTTTAATTTGTATACACCCACTGTGGCGTCCATCTTTGGTAATTTATCTCTAGTGCTCTGTGCCAGTATTGGTCTTGTTGATATAATGATGTGTAGTTCTGCAGCATTGAAAGTTCATCTGGTCAACCTGCTACTTAATATGTCATTCGATAAATCACCTTTGAACTGCATTCTTTAATAAATAAATAAATAAATCTTAATTGTTAGCAGATTGCGTGACAGAATGCTGTATGACTTCAGGCGAAAACCAATTCATTATTTATTACCTATTATTTTACTTTGTTCCCTTTGAGAAATGAACGATTTTAGTTTGAAAGCTGATGGTAGAAATTCCAGAAGTACATTTTGTGACCAAATGACATAACTCAGGAATAGTTATCCCGTGTATTGGGATAAGTTGCCACCAACACGCTTATGCTCTTTCTCAAGTTTAGCAGAAACTTCCGAATCAATGGGGTGTAAACATTTTAAACACTCGCGAAAGTAAACAATGCCATTAGAGATAACATCTTAATAGATTAAAACAAAATGAACAGGAGAAATTATATGAATTATAGTGATGGAGATTTTTGCTAGCCCAAGATTTAATCAGGTCATTTGTTAGTATTTCACTAAACAGGTCCATAAAATCGGTATAATACATTAGGTCTGAGAATAAGTGATACTTATGCATTAGCTGGAAGATTTCATCAAGAGCTGATATCAGTTAGAGAACCATTGGCAGTTGTTTCCTCCACCCAAGTTCGGGACTCTTCAGCAGCACGCACCCACCACAGGGGTTCGAACCCAGGACCTTCTGGTTACAAGGCAAGATCATAGATCAATAAG